AAGGGATTTTTTGGCATGTTTATGTTTCTTAAACTTAAGAAAGGTGCTATGCGTTGCTGTACATATCCAGAAACACATGATAAAGACTCTATAATAATAAATATTTATTACTATAGAGTGTAAAAATAAACTGAAAAAAATAATAGAAAAAATAAAAAAAGTTAGATATGTTCCGGCTTGAGCCTATCTTAATCTACTTTTCCGCCATTTTTATGCGATGGATCTTGTTCTAGTCGTTGCCTATTCTCAATATAGCAGGTTAATGTATCACCGCTATGCCAAATCTATGCTGTGATGTAGGCATTTGGCCTTTTTTCCAGTGATCTATAACGACGTAAACTTCCTCAAAGGGCTTCTGGGTCATTCCTCTATAGATTGTTTCGTTGCGTATTACAGAAGCCTTCCTTTCGGCTTTGTCTCAAGGTATTAGGGGCATTTCTTCATCTCGCTCTGTTCTTCATCTCACACATGTTCCACGCTTGGCCTAGTGTATTTCTTTAGACGCGCAAGGCTGGAGAGGCCAAACGACGGGCACCAGAAGGCGGCCAGGAGGACTCATTACGAAACAGCTAGCGTATTTTCCTTGGTTACAGCAAACATGCGAACCATGGCTGAGCTATGGATTCTAAATCTACTCAGTGTGTCGGCCATCTTTTAATAGCTCACAGTTTCGGCGGCCTGGTTTCGTTATTTCCAGGTTCGACAAACTTCAGCATCTTAGTAGAAAAAAAGAGGTCCCGCAGGAGAGGAATATGTACGTATAGTTGATTTCTTTGAGTTATGGCGGAGATGGGCTAACGAATGTGCGCGACTCAAGTACCATTTGTTGTTGCAAATAGAACTTGCAACCTTATGGTTAAAGGTAGAGATCAACGGCATTTGGTATCGCCTCAGTATGACGCTGCCCATGTTAAGAACGGCTCTTATAGTTTTAGAAACAGATATATAACAACCCCAGGCGAGCAGCTGTCTGGCATACGAAGGCTTCATATGGAAATTCGTTTCCCACCTATGGGTTTATGGTTAAACAGAGTATATAAAATAAGCATGAAATGGTTTGTGTGGCGGTTCAACGAGCTCTTTTCAATTTATTTAAGTTTTGGTCACATTTATCAGCATGCATAATAATATGTACGTTAAAATGCATATATCTGAGACAGATATTTCTTATTTTGCAAACTATCGTCATGGTAGAATCCGTTCCTGTTGATCAAGTGACGGGACGCCGGTTAGTATAACTGTTGTACGCATAGAAAGTCTACAAGTTCCTGGTTGTTGGAAGATATATTAGTGGTAGTTAATTATGACATTTCTGGCAGACGCAAGAAAATCAGATTTTGATACATTTATGGCCTTTGTGATAATAATCATGTAATCCATGTAAATCAGACTCACACTTTGTGTACATGAATTCGCTCAGTTGCAAACGTGTGGACGCATTTTAATTCTCTAATGAAGCACACAGCTACCGTACGCCCTCTAAACGAACTTAGAACTTCTGTTAGTACTTCTGTAATTGGACATCCTAACTTACTACCGATTAGAACTGAATGGAATCGTTTTAATAAGTCGTTAATGAAGTTTGCGTTCCAGCCCAAGAACTGAAAAGGTTTGCAACTCTAAAATGACAGTTTTCTTAAAAACAACATGCTTTCTGACAAAAACGCATCACCGTTAATATTGCGCGTCAGAAAAATTTTAAAATTAAATTACAACTAACTCCAGCGTTTTGCTTCTGTCAGCCATGCCATGTTTTGCGTTTGCCCCCGTGAACCCGCTACTTTCGTGGCTGGCTGGCTGGCTGGCAGGCAATTTGTAAAACTTGGCGAAATCGCGCTCTGGTTTGGCTTATGGCTGAGAAACGGTACTACAAGATATTATCGCAGGTTAATTAAGTCATTTACTACCGCCTATTGGCTAAAATAAAACAAGCTATTAGAGAGACTCTAACGAGGTACCGAGGGCAGGAGAAAAGATATAAGTCGGCTAGCGCCTAGCTTGCGCCTTCCTATATTTGTTAGACGACTTCCGAGACAATAACTTACATATCTTTCGTATCGTGATTTCAGTAATGCGAAAGGCAACGAAAGATGTTATAATACGCGACTTGTATTGCAAATAACTTGTAAACCAGGCTTGAAATTCGAGTTGTATTAATAAAAATTCACAGTGTATTATAATTTCCATTTATCTGTTCTTACTTTCATGTGAAAAAGCGTAACCCTTTCGGCATATTTAAGCTAGAAATTTCTTATAGTCGTGTACAGAGTGACACGTCCAACACGTCTAGCAACTTGGTAAGTTGCATTATATCCTGCATTTTTTGCTCACGAGCAGGAATGTGTGCAAACTGTGTTGTAATTCATTTACTTCTAAATAAACGGACGTTTTTCGCGCTTTATGTACAATATGAAAGTATTTCGATAAATTCAAATTATATTAGCCAGGTAAATGTAACAGAGTAAAATACAGCTCACGCAACGACTTAATTAAAGGGCAAATCAAAAAACTGTTGTTTGGGAAACGTAAATGTTTTCCTATTCAAGAATTCCTAACGCACTATGGGACTTCATAAGAAGAAACCCTTATAGCATTTTATACGAATTGTCTTTTATCGTCATATTAGGAAATGTACCCATTGAAATAAAAAAAAAGTGACTTTCCATTTTTACAGGTGCCTTACATATATATGTATATATATAAAACAGTATAACCCTATGCAATAATTACTCATAAACATTGCGAAATATTTTGACATTCTAGCAGATCGTCGAGGGTATGAGACGATGGCTGGACAACTGGAGAACATCTTGAAACTTCTTACTGTGTTAGTATATGTTATGCTAGGCCCCTTTGTGTTATTACCATAACACCTGCTTTATTCTAAGAAGTAAGAAGATTCACAACATTGGCAAAAAAACGTCTTAGTTTCGATAACGAACCGAGGCACAAGTAATTCTTTCAAGTTCTATGAACGTAAAGTTTTAGCGTATGTTAATGTTAAGTAAAATTAAGAATTTCCTTAAGCACATTGACTATACCTAGTGGCTGGCTTAATGCGACATATAAACACGTAATGGTATCAGTCCTAGTCCTGTCGTCTAGCAGGCTTGTAATAGTGATTGCTATCACGTGGTAAACGGGCCTTTTCACCGGGTTGCCACGAAACGTGTCCGGCCTTAGATGTCAGAGAAAGAGGTTTAACGACACAAGTCCAAAGTGCTAAAGGACGTTAACAAGCGGCGCGCATATGGCTCAGGTCTTGTTGTGATACCTTTTTATTAAAAAGGTGGCGCTAAGATGCTCTGCCAACTTAAGTAAGTGGTATCATACATAGCGTTCTCGACATTGATTGTCCACTTCTGGCTTTACATCTATATGTACAGACATGGAACGGTGGCCTGAGGTACGTTTAAACCTGCGGTTCAAAAAACCAAACATCTCTGTGGAAATATATAAGCACTATACTATTTTTGTAGATAGGGAAGCTGATTTACTATTTGCGATGAATTGAATAGAAGGTGTTTCGCGGTACAAACGCCTGAACCAAAACTAATAATTAAATTGAATTGCATCCTTTTATGTTCATACTTTGGTCATATGGATTTGTATAGACCAAATAATAGAAACCCGCACGGAGCAACCAATGGCACCGGTGGACAAACTAACCACGGCTCACTACAATATTCAAGTCATATTTAATCAATTTACTTATTTCGTAACCGATTGTTGCATTTCTTACGGCTTTTTCGATCTAGCTACGAACGCAGGGATGCACGATGCATATGTAACTTGATTTTAAAGGAAAGGCGAAGCCACCTTCTAGAACGCAGGTCCTTTACTGGGCACAAGCTGTTTTTGAGCCAGCTTCCCCGACGAAAGGCACGGGCGCTTGTCAATAACTTATGCTGGTTGGATTTTAGAAACATGCGTCAACACGAGCCTGCCACAGCTCGTGCCATAAAGACTTCCTAACTCGACACCAATTCTACCAACCAACTATACTGCAGCATAGGAAGGTAGCATGTGTTTATTTAAAATAGCTCGCAGGTACGAGCTCCGCTCGTTCAAATACTGTTGTCAGATGATTTAAGTGTTCGCGTAAGAAACTGGCTAGACATAATAATGAACTTTGACACTGCGTGCCTTTGTTGTATATACGGTAAGATCGTCGTTAATTATCATTATTGATATTATTATTCTTATTGATGTGCCCGTAAAAGTTAGATTACATTGCATACGTTATCGGTATTTTATCTTTATCAAACTATTATTTTATCGTACTTTAAATCAGAATCAATAGGGTGCCTAGCCACGTTGCTAGTCGTCGTCGCATGTTTGACTTTAAATTTTCTGCTATGTTTTATAAGCAACTCTATCTTTTATGTCAACTTTAAACTATCAGATTCAGAGGAATTCGAAAATTCTAGTTTGACCTTAGTCAGAAAACGTGGTAAATCGTTCTTTAGTGGGAATTACTGTATTTTTTTCCTAGGTGGCTTTAGATGTTCACGTTTAAAGCGACTGACGGCTATAGAGGCCTATGGCGGTAGGCTTTTTGTGCCTTTACTCTTCTTTTATAGATTGTGAATTATGCTAATTTGTCACTCATGGCTCTTTATAAAGCGCGAAAGTCTTTGGTAAGTGCTTATGTAAAGAGTTGGGTTTTACGGAACTCTGCATTTTCCTGCAGACATTCATACTACGTTAGGCACCATGCATCGACTAAGCGAGTTTTTGCAAAGTAGCACGTACGTGCATGCTACGTAGATGAATAATTGTATGCGTCTTAAATGTTTACACGTTAAACGCAACTTTTAATGCCTGTGGATATTACATTCCTAAGGGTTATAAAAAAAAAAAGCCTATCTAACGTATAGGCTTTTGCGCCAACAATTGGCATTCTGAAAATCGTAACTTTGACAGCCTGAAAGTGACTCTTGTTTGAATAGATAATCATTTCTTTGGATATGCGATTTGGGTTCTCGTCAATGCTCACCTAAAATATTAAAAACAGAAAAAGGTAAGTATAATCGCGCAAATCAAGTACAGCTTTATTAAAATTCAAACGTGGTTATGTTTGAGTGGACCGAGGCACGATTGGGCAATGCCTCTGTCAGCAGACATGTCCGATACATGCCAAACTTAAGGCCGTCGCGAGGCCTAGAAAGACACGCCTTTACATTGAAGACATTTTTCATCATCTAATAAACTAAATATCATTCGCCATCCAGGGACCATTTCGCTCACGATTAAACTGATACGGCGCAAGTGTAGGGATTTCAGTGCATTTTTAATGTGAAAATATTGTCAAAATGTTTGAATTATATTTTACTAGTGCCGTTACATGCTAATTTGCCTTCCCTAATTTCTAATACAAAGTAGGTTGGAGGTTCGAGCTACATCCGTCCCAAGTAAGTCCTAGTAGAGCAGCATTCGGAGTAGCGTGTCACCCGTGCTCGTGAACAATATATGTCACAGCAAATATCACTGCTAAGCATAGCAGCATAGTTTTAAAACACAACTTTTCTCGTAAACAGCACAAGCCATTATAAGGCGTGGCTGATAACAAGACGGTTATAGTAGCTGGTGATTGAAAAAGGCTGTAGTCGCTGGTCTGGCCTTTAGTGGCGTCGTTCACGTTCACCCACTGAACGGAAGTTGCTTGGACCTCCAGCCAACAGGCTTACATTTGCCATTGTATACTCACCTGCCAGTCGCAAAGTTCTTATAGTAAAGTCCCGAACGTCACCTCACCACCGTTCCATTGTTCGCCTTTACCCTTCCTCCTACTTGAAACCCTCGAACTTCTTTTCTGCGTCCTCATAAACCGTAGAGCTTGGCACCTTTCACTTTCCGTGTTTAAGTGGGACCACTCCGTGGCAAACGGCTATTTCTCAACAGGTGAGATGTGTACCAAGCGGACTGATTCGTGGGTCGGCATCCTCATTGTCCGTGTTAACACCCACAACTCTTTTCACTCAATCCCTCCGTCCTGCCTTTACTCACAAGTTACTGTACTCGTTTCCCAAGACTACTCAGAGGCATCCATCCGGCTCTGGCGCGTCTTCGATCTCTTCCTTCGCGTGTGCTGGTGCCAGCCTCACTCCAAATGGAGAAGAGGAGGAAGCTGTCGGCACACCATCTCTTCAACATTTTCCAGGGTCCTTCTGTGCGACATTTTGTTCTGCTGTGCAGACCAGTAGGACCAGCTGGACTTCTTTATCCCGTCAGCTCTAACATGGTTACGACAGGCTAGCACAAGTCATTGTTTAATTGACGAGAAATAATTTTTGTGTGTTCGTAGATCCTTTCCGAAAATAAATGTACTACCGTACAACTTTCCTATTGGAATAGTTGAAAACAAATATGAAGAATACCGGTTGGCATACGACGATGCTGGCTGGGCGGAAACTTGTGTGCATCTTCCGAAATTGTGCGAAAAAGCTTGGTGTCAGTCTTTTTCTAATTAATATGCTATTGTCAAGTTCAGTGGAGGATTACACAGTGAGATCATAGCCGAACATGCTTACTAATGATGCCATTACTTTTTCTCTTTTTCCGTTTGCTGGCTCTACGTTAAGTAGATCCCGACCGCAACGAGGCGTTCGAATGCGTTTTTCTGCCCCTGAAAAAATAGAAATCAATCAGGTGAGCAAAGAACTCGAACACCTAGCAACAACTGTTGGAATAGGCAATTCCGTTGCTGGCTGTATTCGGCAGAGAAAAAGGATCAGACCTTGATGTTGCGAGTTTAACAGGGACAGCATCCGTTCGACGATAATAGCGTTGTTCCAGCTTGCAAGGCTAGGTTTTTTAACGTCTCAGCTCGAACTGACCGTCAATTGTATCTTTTTCGAGTTCTGTTGAACGGCCAAAGAAACTCTTCTGAAGTTGATATACAGTGTATTGAACTTGTTTTCGTCGCCACGTCAGACTGAAGGTTCATTTAGCTATGTCGTATTGAAACTGTTCCTTTTCAAGATCAGAGAAGGACTCGTAGAATTTATCTAGCGCATCTAGAATCGGCGAGTTTATCTGTTCTTGCATGCTTCGTAATAGATTCCACTGGCATATAGTTGATGTAGACTTAAAAAGGCCCTCATACGCTGAGTATCCGTCTGATCGGTTTTGGAGCCCCTGGAATAAAATTAACGTTAGCAAACACGATAATTGAACGGCACGTTAAAATAAAATTTCGCTATCAAATCAGTATATATTCATGCTGCTCGTTACAAACGTACGGCTGCCGTTAATGTCACTTAAATCCAACAACAGTCCAGTTTCTAGCGTCTGTCATAGTTAACGAAAACGCCACGACTAAAAGGACAGCTATTCAGACCAGCTGACAACTTTTCATATTGTGTACTCGTGTTTCTAAAAGCCAGCGCTGCTCTGTACGGGTTGATTCACAGGCTTTGTCGAATTCGTGTCCGCGGAACGTATTACAAACTTCGTAGCATTGAACAACGACGAACCAACTACTTAAATAGTGAATCTTTCGAAAAGGAAGTAATGGAGGGCTCACAATGTGTGTTGGGAGGTAATAATTCTCGCATTTTGTGCTTTGAGACGTCAACACAAGTCAAGTGAGCCCTATTGCACTGTGTTCTGTTGCCGACGAAGTCAGAACGAGGCTCAGCCAACAAACTGCGTAGATGTTACCTCGTTTTGAATTCGGTCGCAACTTTCCTAGTGGAGCTCTGACATGACCCGTGGAGTTGAAGAGTTGATTGAAAGGGTTTGCATGCAAAGAACAATTATAATGCAAACACCTCTCTCGTTTCGTAATGTTTTCTGCCTGTGTTCGTTCATTTATCACATACGCTCCTTGAGTGAAATGTGTTAAAACCGCTCCAATAGCTTGTTGCCATAAGCGTTCAAACGGGTTTACCGGTCGCGCTATATAAACTTACAATACCGTGCAGCATCTCTGATTCGTCAGTTGCCCTATTCTGTCACTCTTTATCCGTACATTTCGGTGTCATCCAGAAACTGAGATGCTATTATTTGAGTCCAAAAAAGCAAGGCCTACGTATGGATACTTTTGTTTTTTTCTAAGTTAAAAAATAAGTGTGCGTAATTTTTTTATTTACGTGGTAGACTAGTAAAAGCAAAAGAAAACTCACTAAGATTTTTAAACGTTTTAGTACTAATGTCAAGCTCTTCCATAAAAACTACGTCTAGTGCACATAGTCACTGGACAGACAACCCATTTACGCAGACGCTATCTCCAGGCTATGGGGAAAAACAACCGAATATCTGCATGACACGTGGAGATTTTCTCCTCACATAGGTTGATTTACAGAAACTTCGCTCCGTTTCGATAATCCTCACAATTCGTAGTAGTACACAGCCATAGTCTCAGGCTTTCTTATAGTTAGCCAACCCAGGCCTATCGGCGAAGGCGGCTTGTTTCTCCCTTTCCATACACGAACGTACTCAACAAACTTATAGGGAATGGTGTTTACAGGATTTGAAGAGGTGCGACGACGCTTTGGCCGTTTATCTAATGATGCAAAGAACTTGCTGGTTTATTTTACTTACAGACGTATCCTAAACGGCCTCGGCAACGGCGAGAGCGGTCGTATTGCGGTACATAGTAGGGGTGTGCGTGTGGCAAGTAGATTTTATTCGGTGCGGGATGTACGTTTCTAGTTGTGTGCAAAGCCTCAACAGGGAATGCCTGGAACTCGAATAACTTATGGTCAATGGCAGTATACAAACAATTGTTTCAAGCCCCAAATGCTTGATAGCTAAATGTTTGCATATAATTGCATGTATCAGTATTTTTTTCAAGAGAATACGCTACAACGGATACGCGGTTTGTGGTACTGTACAATTAAACACGGATTCCTATCGAAATCTGTGTGCCCAACGCAGTTTAGCTACAAACTATTTGCTGATGTTGGCTGGCAAAACACGTACGTATTAATCTATCGTGACGTCCTTGTGGAGTTGCGTTTCAGAATACATGACTACAAAATAATCCGCTAACTATGCGAGCGTGCTTTCGTAATATTTATCGTTATTTATATAGGTAACTGATGAACCCGCCCCTGTTTACACAGTGTTTTTTTTGTAGCGATCTCCACGGCTTTCAAATGTACGAATATTAGATCAAACAACGATGTAAATGTATGCTCGTAAACATCAGCTCAAAGAAAGCTTTTATAGATCTCCGTCAAGTTCGGCCACCTGTTGCTAAATGTCGGCTTTAAACATTTAACTTCATAGTAACTAGTATTTCTAACATCAAGGTACTTGTCGGTTGGATATGCTTGTTGCCTTTGAGAATCGTATGCGTATTTGGCATTGGTCATCATATACAATAGACATTGAATCCGACATACGAAAGACTCTACGTACCGAGGCTACGAAGAATGGAAGCGGAAACTCAGCATTCAATTGCACGTGTATATTTGTACAAGTACAGGTGTGCATACGTAGCGCTCTAATTAGAATTAGCGTTGTACATAAAGGAATAATGATAATTAGTCTAGAGTCATTGTTATCCTACCTCGAAGATGAATATTTAACACAACGCATTGAAGGTTATTCTGTAATGTATTATATAACATACATAACTGGCCGATAAAATATAGATGTGGCTCAATGATGCCGACGGCCGGACACAGTCGACATCTTATTTTCACACCGAAGAAGCACGTTCAATGTTTAGGAGAAGATTTTATTATGACGAAACATGTACATGTGTCTACAATTTAATGGGGGTGTATCTTATATGCTGGATTACAATACAAAGTGGGTCGTTTATTGGACCTTAACCTGACGTGTTTTTTTTTTTATTAGGCTTTACAAGGTATGGTATTTTTCTAAAGATAGGCTTCCTTCAGACTCAACCGTTTCGTTCGCAAGCGAAAAGCAAACGAACACTTTATATTTTTTCCACCCAAATTATTGCGGTATAAACCTGATCTCAACTTTCTTAATGACACTAAAAATAGTGCCTTCCTTCTAATATCTACGAGCCTGTGACGCTGTCCTTATAGCTAACAGAACTATCTAATAATTATAGAGAAGCAATTTTAAATATTTTGTGTAAAGGGTAAAATTACTAGATTTATGTAGGGGCTCCTTGACAAATTCATTATTTAATGGAGATAGACAGGAATTTGTACCTGAGTAACATACGGAACTCTAATCCAGTACGGCAATAACAGATGCAAACCGTGTATAACATGTCTGCTTCTAAATAATCGGTAAGAGCACCGACAATTGTCAGCATAGGTATCTTATTTATCACCCTTAACAGTATCTCTCGCAATAGATATCCGAAGAGACAAACTTTCTTGAAACGAAACAAGTAATTTTTCGGCGAACGAACGGCGGTAATTTTTCGTACACTGAGCTTTCCTTAATGAATGTCCAAAATGCACTTTTGGTTTTTCCATCAGATCTTAATTTTATAGTTCGGGGAAATTTTTCCACCGCCTGCTACCGCCTGTTTAGCAGGACTAAGTTGATAACTCTTAGACCGTTCTTTCTATTCTAATACACCAGTGTGATCCGGTAGAGGATCTCATGGAGTTATCATTGTATTCAGTACAAAAAACACGAAAAATGGTGATTACAAACGCGTTCCAGTTGCGCTTTAGCAAATTAGGGAGTAGCATTTGAATCTATGCGATATTTTAATGTTTGTAGAGGGTTTGTAAATGGAGCTCGGCTGAAAATTGTGCTTTCAAAAAACTCAAATTACCCAAAAGAGACTTACAAAGTTTCAGTTGTTCGTATTCTTGAGAAGACGGCCTCTATGCAGGAGAGCGGTGGACATCATAATGCTTAACAAATATGCATAATAATTATGCCGCCTTCCGTAGTAGATACGACAATACTACTAGGTAACCTATCCTCGCGTCGCAGACTACGTGTTTTTTAAGGCTGCACATATCCTCTAGTAGTCCTAGTTGTTTTAATCTCTTTGATTGGTATACAATGTATTGCGCCCACCCACATGTACAGGTTGTAGATATGAACGCTCCGAACATAATTTTTGATTCTGGGCACGGTGATTGCTAAGTAAAACACTTCAGAGCAGCTTTGTTGAACGGGATAGATCTATAGCTCCTTATATAAGTGAACAATTACTTCGTGCCTATATCATGCTCTCTCTTAATTTCAAGCTGAATGTACAGGGTGAGCTTTTTATACGTGACTCAAATGTCGACCTCAAAGCGTCAGACCATCAAACAGCACAAACACAAAAAATGCGCATGAGATTTAACTGCCTTAACAACGGTTGTGATTTAAGTATTTTGTAGATTGGCCGAGTACATTTGTAAGTGATGTGGTGCTTAATTCATGAGCTTGTCATTGGTGCCTATGGGGCTTCGGCCTGTAAAATATGAGAGACGTATTACTTCGCTAGCAGTCGCAAACTGACAGAGCCTAGTAGGTAACATATTTGCACGTCTAGGTTCGAACCCTAGCATAGACGTAAGCCGTTTTATTCAGCCCTCTGATGGAATACCGAACAACGACATCGGAAGTAAAACTCGGATCCAAGACATGCAATATGTAGGCAGCGATTCAAATAGAAATGTTTAAATCTGCATATCCCTAGACGTTGCCATTCCTGCTACTAATCTGAGGTGTATTAATTACAAAAAGTAAACTAAAGCAAAAGTAGCTTATTGTCCTTTTATGTGACAATAACGAAACACTGTTTTCATTAGAGAACCGTTCAAATATGAATAGCAATAATTAGTTCGGCCGAGTCGTGTCTTACTTGATGCTGAGGAAGTCCGATGTAGTAATAGTGTTTACTCACAACTTTCTAATTGGAGTTACTTTGCAGCCTAGAAACAAAGCATTGGCCGCATTGTATTGTTAAATGGTTTGCACTTCATTTTGGTTCATGATAACACAGATAAAAAGTCAAGGACTCACTGCTTGTTATAGCTAGGCATTTCTCTAACCTGGACACTGTCGTGTGCTGCAAAATATAGCCGGCGTCGTTGAAAGGCTCAATGCCAAGTTAACGTTTGACTTGTACTATGATAGCCTTATGTTATCATAGCCATATGATATCGGCCTTTTTTAATTCTGTAGATAACCTTTAATTTTTTTCTTTGGTTTTTCTGAATATTATTTTGGGTCAACAATGAATTTTTTTAAAATTCTAAATCTCATAACCAGACCCAGAATGGCTCTTTAGTCTGCATATTATTATAAGTATTAGTATAAGTAAAATATTATCACGAAATAAATGCGTTAATCACTAAGGTCACAAACCTGCAATAGATACGCACAAAAAGTTAGCCTTACAAGTAAGACAAAATTTAACTAAAAAATCTTATACGTACGGCGGAGTCAGACCGATACTGTCGCAAGCGCTACGTTGAGGCAGCATGGAGTCAGGTAGAGAGAGGCTGGAGTGGAGTCACGACGCTTCAGGTCCATTGTTGTTGTCTGGTTTGCCACTGAATAAGAATATAGACTGCTAATTATATGTGAATATATTTTACAGGAAAATAGGATTTCTTTGTTCTGACTTGAGTTCGTGTTGCGAGCGTCTCTCTAGATATTTTCGGTACCGCACTAAAAGTGGTTAAACGAAAGACAAAATTGAGTCGGCAAATGGTCCTGGCTGACCGTGAGGCAGATTCCATCAGAATTCACTCAAGCACAAAAAAGATTCTGGTATCGTATGAAATTGACAGGTGAAAATTCAACTGTATGTCTATGATTTCTATAGTAGCGCGCCGGTCCTGGTTCGGACGTATGTTGCATAGGCTCATTAAAAGTCGTTCACTTTTGGTGGTGCAGTTGCGTTAGGCCGAATTAGCGTAACCTCTATGGGGGTATACAATGCAATTATGTGTTTACGTACCTTCAATATGATGAGAGGGGTTTTTTTTTGGTTGCACCCCATCGTCTGCCCACTTGAATCATATGCTGATACAGATTGCTCAATCCGTTAAGATAACGTGTTCTTCCAGTATACATAGAAAAAACCATTCGGCAGCATAGGAGCTTTGCAGGGTTTGTTGTGGCGGCACTGAGTTTCGTGAGAGATTTCTACTGTTCTGCGAAGCTAAAGCAACATTATAATGTTGAGAAAAAAGAAACAGATATTAGTGTTGTTAACGCAATATATTAGTATTATACAACTGAAATTAGGAGTACAGTCAGTGGAGTGGGGCTTTAAGTGCTGATACCCCGTTAGGTCTTACATGGTCGATAGTAATCTTTATAGGAGCGAGGGAGAATTTCTTGAGGGCTGCAGGGTTTGCAAGCAAGCACTGAACATAGTGGAATCTGTTTTGGCATGTCTGTACTTTATACGAGCTAGGTGATTCCGTTCACAGTTCCGGCTAGGAAAGGCAGATTATGTAATAGAGTTTATAGATATGTCAAAATGTAGTTCCTGCTGACTGACGCGGTCAAATGAATTTGAAACAGAAAATTGCAAATACTAAAGCGGCTCCATTTATTTTTCATATAGCATGGCGACCAAATCAAAGCTTTCGGATTCCAAATTTGGTGATTTTATTTCAGTGACAATGAACTGGTTTATTGGGAACTGTATATCAATATTGTGAATCGACAACTTACTTTTAGGCTCGATGCGGGCCATCGTTCTAGACTGTATCAATGAAGCTTAGGCTTTAATTCGTTGTATGCACTTTTTCCAAGACTCTTCCTCAGTTAGCTGCATGATCCTCTAACGAGGAGCGTGTGGTAACCAGTTTCTTCAAGATTATTGAATGTCTCCCTTCACGTTTCATTGACCGGTGCTTAAAGAACTGGCCACTCTCTGTACGAGTCGGGTACTATTATTATTAGATATATCGGGCCGATGATTTGCGTATATGCCAAGAAACCTTATTCGAAGGTCCAATCAATTTTAACCCGCGGGCTACAGATCGAATAAACTATACGGCATAGTCAGTAAAGGGTTCTAACTATATCTGATCAGATTTAACAGCTAAATTGCCTTCAGTCAAAATACGCCTGTGAGCTATATTCTATTCCTCGTCAACCAGTACTGAAGTTACTACTATCGTATGAGAAGCTACTTCTAGAAGTTCATTCATCGTCTCTGTTTCATAAGATCTGCTAAATAACATAAATTTCGATAACAAATGACTCCAGTTCGGGCCGTTAGTCCAGGACTGGCCTGTGCAGTACTTGGCCAGATTCGCGTTAGTGAAACCGTGTCCATCTGCTTTACGCGTGATTCTCGGAATAATTAGACTAGTTTACTTGAGCGCTCAAAAGCTGAGATATGTCCCACTTAACGAATCTGAAAATTCTAAAAAAATAAAAAGTTTGCTCGATAAAAGGGCTTTTCATGCAAGACGCATCCTACACGCATGTATATTCTATGGAATAATTGACATATTTAATTTATGAACGAATAATTCGCCAAAAACAGTAAGCGTATCCCTGCGAAATAGCTTGCATTAATATGCCCGTGTACATCATAAGGAGCCAGTATACCTCGCAAGCATTATTCCACATGACTAGGTCTGTTAAAGTTTACCACTGCTTGTATCACCACTGCCGTGCGGGCAGAGTCTAGAAAACGAAAGCGCCACCTCTGCCAAACGTACCAGGAAAACTTTCGTCTTTCTCTCTAGGCCAGTATTTCTAGCTTCTACTGGACAGTTATTGCGCCACTTCGACTAGCTGAAGTGGTAAATTTGTACGAGAGCTGCTTACTGTAGTTGCAATTCAGCTATGTCCTTTAGTATCTTCGTTCTTACTGGCTATTCTGACCCCTGTCCACACTCCTGCTGGTGTATAACGAGTCTTGAACAAATAGCCGTGAATGCGAGTGGATCGTATGTGACAGAGTGCGATTATTTATAGTCCCTATGCTCAGCAACCTGCCGACTTGCGCATCCATCCGGTTACCTACCGCTGTCTTTCCCGAAGCCCAAACGAATAAAGGAATATCTATGAAGCAGGTTGAATCGGGAGCCCTTTATGGCGGCAGAATACGGGCACCTGGCTACGCAATAGGGAAATGGATCGATTATCGGACAAGGTGATCGGTTTTTCATTACACTGAGATAATGTATTCCAGTTCTTAGGTTATGCTTGAGTGGCACAAGACTCGACAGGTCGGTCACCGCAAGCTTAGCCGTTCCCGAATCTCCAATTAGAACAACTACTAGTGAAACCGTTAACTCATGGTAACACATCTTAACGGGACCCTTCATTGCTCCCGCTTCGGTATTTATGGGGCTTCTATGATTAGCGTCCTATGATTAGTGTACTCTGCCTTCCACTAGAAAAAACTTTTGAGAAGGTTACCTACCGTCGGAGACCATTGCTACTAGTCGTCTGCTGGCAAAAGATACACGTGACTGCTTCCAGATACATAACACAACTGTTGCCTTTTTAGCTCTTCCGGAGGTTGCTTTATGACTGTTCAACTGTTTAAGTTCAAGACCGTCCAATATTAATATTTATTCCTGTCACCTTAACTTTAAAGTATGTCTTTTCTAATTGGAAAAAGTAATTTATCAATTTGATTTAGTCATGATTAAAAGACACAAGGGTAAGATGTGGTATAGATAAAAGTTAAAGAAAAAATTACAACTTCTAAATTGTCAAACAAGTTTTTTCAAACTATGAAAGTAGTATTCTTGCCCGACACCATATATTACACATGCCACTAATAGCAACAGCTACGGAAATACCTGCGCAGGTTTTTGCAAATTAAAGCGAACATAGAAATAGACGCGTCCGATGCTTCAATCGTCGACGACTTTCGCACTAAACCACTATCACCCTAACGTGTCTGTATACAAACTGAAAAAGAGAGCTTCGAATCCGCTACGCAGTTTTTCGAAATTCCCACCCGTTCTATTCAGCTGAGAGAACATGACCGCTGCTTTTATTTAAACTCAGGCAATCCGTAACGCTGATGTGCTAGGGCTTTCTTTGATTAGAAGCAGAAGCTCATTGCCGAGTATGTACATAAAAACACGTCTGCTGCTCTGTCATCTGGCGAAAATTTCCTTTGGACTACTACTGCGTTCCAACAACTGTGGTCCAGCTACTGCGTACTTTTGACATTAGCCGTGATACGGCTTTCCGGCCCCGTATTTGAAAAGGCGTATTTATTCCATTTCACGTTAACTCATCGAAGTTGGCTCGTGTTAGCGTGGAGGCGCTTGCTTTGAAAATGTTTTTGCGCATGGAACACAGATATTTGATCTACGGAGAGTTTCAGCTGACCCTGCTAGAGGCTCGCTTTTACCTATGCATCGATGTTCCTGGCGGCCAGGTATAGCTCTGGCTTGGGCCTGAAGTTCGCCGGCGACACGGTTAAATAAAAATCCTTCTTGACTGAATGAACACGTACAGGTCCTCATCATCACTTTGTAAGCATACGTAGTATTCCGCGAAATGGTACCTATCGCAAAAACCGCTTATATAAACGAGTCTTGAGCTCACTCTACGCCTTGATGCAACCTACAATGGATTCGGTGCTCCCATGGGATCAGCTGTGGCTTCCTACCTCTGTAACCGGAATTCTAGAATAATTAAGAAATAGCAGCTTCGGTAGCCACAAGACATGTCCCACAGATGCTCCAAAAGAACGTCGCCACAGGTTTCAGTGCCGCAGTGACTATTTCTCCAGGCGACTCGACTTCAACGATTCGTTCTTTTCTATCACGAATAATACTGATGATACGCTACTGCCATTACAAATGCGATTCATTCGCGCAACCTGGCACTGCCATATAGCCGAACTGATGGAAATACGTAAAACTTAATATCGGTAAGCGCCGTAATGTGTATATATATATACACATTTTACACTTAGAGATGTATATATAAACACGTTTCAAACGTAAACTACAGAAATAAATACAAAATCCTATATAGAAAACCTATTGTCAATTAATCCGCTTTTCAACTCATTTCTGCACAGGGCTGTACCCCGTAAAGTATGGGTTTCTAGAGCACGTTTCCGATTTTTTTACTATACTACATAACCTGATTGCAGTTCTAGCAGGGTTTATTACTGAAGTTGCGATAAAAAACAAAATGCTATACACATAAACGTCATATAACCGCGCTGCTAAATGGGTTGGTTCCACCTGTTTTACAACAATTTACCCTATCGAAGTAGTAAACTAAGCGTAATATATAGATAAGATTGTCGAAAGAGTACTCATCGTTTATCTAGCTAGGTGACTCTAAAGTCACATGTAGATAAGATCAGCTGCGGCGGGTGGGCGTGGGTGCCACTTGACAGCTGAGGTTTAACAATAGAAGACGTAGTATAATTATTGGAGTACCTTTACGCAGACGCAAGACTGCATGCTTTGAAGGTCAGTAATTTTTTGCGTTACTTCCATTCTGCTTCATAATTTTATTACGATAAAGGCTAGAAGTGTTACTTATAATGATTATGTTTATTTAAATACTATTTATCGCGATTTCAGCTTTATTTCTAGTCGAGTTGAATTTGGAACAGGCAGCAGCCCAGAAATCCTAAAAATGTATAGACTGCACAACGGGTCATATCTTATCGGGATATAATTATATAAATGATTAGTGGCCTAAGATGAAGTTTTGAATAAAGAGAGTGTGTTTAGAACTAGAATTACGAAATGTAGTAAAGGTGCAAAAACCATATCGCAGGGAGTTTCGGGCATCCCTACCTATGGCACTTGCAATTAAAAGGTTGTTTGAAATGGGTCTACCCAGGAACTGTTCGGGGTGGCTAAAGACAATGTTCTGTAAGACCAAGAGCATCGACGAGCTTTACCAGCCAGTACTGGCAAGATGTAGCGAAACATTCCAGAAATTTGTCACACTATCTATCAAGTTTAATATCAGTAAATTAAATGTACATCGCATGTTAAGAGGCAGTAAATAATAATAATAATACATGCTATCAATGGCGATGATCCGTAGTCAAGAACAAATCTCACGAATAGTGGCACTTAGAAAAGTATGGACAGGGTGCATAGTTTTCGGGGACGATTGTTTGAAGCGATGAAGCTACCCCCAAAGGGTACAATTAATGAACATGGTTGCTCTTACTGGGCAGATGGAAATTCATATGTTACGCAGGAACACAATCTAAATTGATTAGGTCTTACGGTATGGTGCGACATTTCAAGCAATGGATCAACCGGACCATTTTTTTAACAGAGCAATGACTGATTTCAGTCACTGGAATTTACTGAAAAGATTTGTTTTATCGCGTATTCGAAAGAACTCTGGCGAAGATGGAAAATTTTATCCGACAGAGCGGAAAACCTGCACATTTTGATGAAAATTTTCCAAACAGACTGGTTGGGCATCTACCGTAGAATACCTGCCTTTTTGGCTTGGCGCCAATAGACCTTTTTTGGGAAACCTTATGGATACGGTCTACGCCCGAGAGCTACAATTGAATAAGGAACATTATTAAATTGAAGTTTGTTGAATCAACATTCCACCGCCGTAGACAGTGAATTGGCTAACTTGGTAAGAACTTGTTGTAGGTGAAAAAGTTACCGATTTCATGTAGGACATTCTGCAATCCATATATTTACTGCGTATGTGTTAATAAAAGCTAAATTACAGTCATTCAAACTATGAGTACATTTCCTTTGAAACGCCCTCTTTACATTGAAATCGACCACTGCCTTGAATCAACATTACACTCCTAATAGAGCAAAGTGTGCGGTCTTGTTCGTTCTACTTCCAAGGTGGTTGAGAAAATGGTGCGAGAAGAAGCACGAGAAAGAGCGGCCGTACGCGGACCCTGCTGAGTCTGAAAGACCAGAAATTTCCCATAGGCTCCGTTGTTCTTGGTTGTAAATAATATAGCCTTGCGGTTTTCGTTTGTATCGCCGATGGCTCCTTCTACTTGGCGAAGCACGATTCAAAAAAGGCCAAACACAAACGGATTTCAAATCTTGATGCATAATTCAACCCTTGCTTGGCCACCAGACTTGATAATGACGGTACATTACAATATGTGTCTGCGTGTGTACGCATCTATGGGCTTTAACTTACAGCCGTACAGGTGCGTACCTCGCTTTACTCCACAGTTTGGAGCTTTTCAAGGCAGCAAATAGCGAAATAAAGGACACGTTGTGAGCCTATGGCCTCCAGGACAATAACAATACTTCCATCAGTCACCATCACCAACGCCATCAGCTGAACAACACATTCGGTGAATACTGGCATGAAGGCAAATATTAGTTCCTTGTCTTGCTATCGAATTCAGACTTACCTAATCCTTTGAATCTCGAATATGACAGACGCACTAAATCATGTAAACTTTTCTAGGTATCCTCAATAGCAGTCCGATATGTCAAGCAGAACTAACGCTTATCAATGGTACATTGCGGGAAGCACAAGAGATAGATACGTTCAACGAAGAGCTCGCACATAAGAAGGGCGGTAGCAAATGTTAATATGTTGCAATTTCCAACAGAAAGGGTATCCAATTTTGCCGTGAAGCCTGGGTTTGCTTAGCTCCATCCAGCAAGCTCCAACTGCACTCCAAGCCGGAAGCCTAACTGAAAGTGAGTATCCGCATTTGTTCGTGAATTGCCGCAATGTTTACCCTTCCGAGTTTTGGATCTGCATAAGCCTCACCGGAAACGGCTGGAAAAGAGATTAATTTTATGTTAATCTTTTCAAAAGTGTACCAATCGGCACTTTCTTATGTCAAACAGATATCGTTCACTGTGCGATCGACGGTAGACTGGGCCTTTAGATAACTGGATTCTATCAAGGTCTGTTGCTTGTGCCTAGTTAATCAGCTTGGACGGAGTGCTTGTTCGATGTTTCTTACGAAGTTTGTTATATGCATATATATATATATATATATATATATATATATATATATATATATATATATATATATATAGATTAACAAAACAACTGTGTGGAATTTGCCGAATGTAGAGTAAGCTTTGGAGAGATAACAGGAGTCCTTTGATTTCTTTTCAGACCAACACAAAAGCAAGAGAAACAAAACCAGGCTTGCTTTCGAGGTTATGAAGCTATTAATTAACCATAACTGTTTCTTTGAAACCTCCAGAAGGCTCTACCATATTTGCTCTAACGATATAATCTCTATTTACAGCAGTTTACCTTCATAAAAAAGAGACGTTCTACTGAAAGCCGTTATCGTATAACACAATTAACGAATAACCCGCACTGCTAATCAACGTTTCAATAAAGATCTGTTCAATGCATGTAACGTATCAAAAAATCTGATTCAGACCAGATTAAGAATACGGATCTCACTTCATGCAGAAATCGACAACTTCGTATGCAAACCTTGTGTAACCTTGGCTAAAAAGGTGATTTTATCTCTTACCTGTAATCGGAGTCACTTTTTTGATAACTACGATATATATAAAAGAACCTTACGAGTTAAAACGAGAGAACGAGTTAAAAATCACTATGACTCACTGTAAAACACTCAACTTTTGTTTGCAAGTTTGCTTTGGAAGTAAAACAGTCTCAGCTGGTTCTTCTGTTTGGGAGATGACTGACAGCGCCTTATGAAGCCCCAACAGGATGAGGCTACATGCAAAGGCAACAGCCAGAACCCAAAGAGCTCTGAAAAATAGACCTCATGGGTAGATTAATAGCTTCAGTTGAATTACACTGTTCGCTGGTCAAACACTTCATATTGAAGCTAAGTGTACCTTAGTCATCTAGATCACGCTATAACTTGTAATGGCAGACTAGCAAGCAAGACACCTTGCATACACAATCAATTTAGACCAGCTCAAACCTACAAAAAGTAATGTTATATATTTTTATATTCAAGTGTATGCTAGTCGGCAGATTTGTTAATTGGGAGACTAAAATAAAAATTCTACTTTTGTTTCAAACACGGAAACTGTTAGTTTACTGAGTTCAACTTTGTTCTGTAATCGGCCGGGTAGCCAAAATATAATAGAATTCCAGGGTTATACCTGACGGTATACGCAACTCAAAACTGATATGCACACTACGGGTGCTGCATAGTACCCTTAGTAGCGTTAACCAGTAAATGGTAAAATTAGTCAATAGAATCCCGTAGAGCGTATGAACAGTTAGCTACCTTCCACGCCCCTCGAACGGGACTAGGAAGTTGGACAACCACAGGAGGCTATTCTACCTAAACGACAGGCTTTCGTGTCTGGAGGTTTGGTGGACTAGGCCGTGAATACGAAATCTGAGCAGATAGTTGAAGCAAATAGAATTTCGATTCGTGACACGAAACATGCGTTGGCGAAATCGTATTGTTACTTATCCTGTATGTTTCTTTCGTTTGAGTTAATTATTCGATGCTTTTTAGTGGAAATAATCATATAGGGTGATTTTTCCAATTTTCCAAAACGAAAAGAATCATTGCCGTTATATCAGTTCGACCTTGCCTTTAATGGGCTTGTTATTCACTAAACTATTGTGGTATAAGAGCAATTAAATCACTGTATCTAGATGGTAAAGTCAGCTGCGGATAACCGCCATTACTTTTATCCCAGTAGTGACGTACCGTGGTGATCGCCTACCAAACCTAAAGACGGACACGCGGTGATTTAGGTACAAAACTGAGCGCAGACAGACCTCGTTTCGTGACGGGAGCGACCAGCCATTTGAAGCAATGCTTAGGAAACGAAAATATTTATTCAATAGCGAACAATGTAGAGTATATACTGCTACCTCGATTACTATTAAAATACATAAAAATGTATGTACGCACAAGTTTGAGCTACATTTCAGTGCTTCACCATTTTTGGATCAGTATAATCTTTATCTACGAAGTACAGTACGTTAATACAATGTCGTCATTTTTACATACGAAGATAAGTGTAAAAACTTTTGTGTGGTTTTGACATCACCTCGTTTTTGCAACTACACAGACATCCTTTATCAGTGCAGGGTATGCCTTCAAAAGTCCTTAAAGGGCATGGTTTTTATATGTATTCAAATATGTTTTCTTAGATTGCTCTAAAGTTGCCTACACCGTCGCTTTTTTTTTTTATTTGTTAGTGTTTGGCAACGTCCTAGACTAATGTAGGTCTCAAATATGGAGTTTTCACAATTTAATTTTCAAGCGAAAAAAGTAGACAGTCAAATTGCTGGCCAACAGTATTAGGGGGAAGACGACCGTCATGAATTAACAGACGTAAGTAACATGAATCAGAGCTGTCCGCCCTAAACAACCGTAATTCTTATAGCTTTCTAGCCTCGTTGAACAACACGTTTGCTTTGCGTGTTCGTACTTTGAGATCCTTATATAGGCATTAGGTAGGATTAGAACGCAACCACCCAATTGTACAGGTTATGTGATCAGCTCATGAGTGGGTAGACCTTTATCGCAGCCGTATTCCACGTTCGGCGAACAAGAGTATTAGGCAAACTCCAAACTGCAGACTGAGGAAAAGCAGATCGAAGGCGCGGGCTGTACTTTGATAAAAAAAAAATTAATATCGATTAAATAATCGTGATCAATCAATGTCACAACCGTATAAAATTATTTCATTTGATAAACTCAGTCTTCGCAGTAAAAATTCAACTACATACGATACTGCGGCAGTTTTATGCTTTACAACAAAATTTTACCTGAGCCTATAAAATAGGACGTAGTCCATATCTATATTTGCCATTTTTATGTATGTAAAGCTTTTTCACTGTGATCGCTGGGATTTATATATACATAGACAAAAAAGCAAACGTATTTCTATCCTTCCGTAGGCATTTTGCAAAAATAATCGATAGCGAGACAGCTTTTTAATGGCACACATTTTAGGTCCTACGTTTTTATTTCTGACAAACATGCCCTCGGTATCATTCAACTACATGCGGACCGTTCTTTTATAATAACGGCATCTGTATAGCTTCTGAGAAAGAAGAATTATTGAGCTTTTTAGACACCTTCCGAAGTTCCTCTTTCATAGTCAGCGAACTCTAGTCAGTGAGTTCTGTAATTAAGTTAATCATTATATATCCCTATGAAACAGGATCCGTCATGTTATACTGTCTTATTGGACAGACAAATCGCATTGCCGATCCTAAACTGGTAGAGGGAGACTATGTACAAAATGAAAGGATCTACGATACGCAGTTTTCCTACGGCAGGGATTTTCCAGAGGACACGCTCATTATCAACTCGATTCAGAGGAAAAGAGTGGAGGTTTTTATTGCTACTAAAACAATCAAACTCCGTTCAGAAATAATCTATTATGAGCTTTTTAAAATATTCTTTCCTTTTTAACTAGTTCTTGCGGATTCCAAATTGGCATTAGTACCTCTTAACGGTCTGATAGCCAAGTCAGCCTTCGTATGTGAACGTAGACTATTTTCCTTTTCAATTCGCGCACCGTATGCTGTTATATAAGCCCGCTTATTGTAAGCATGTATTAAAATATCAATTTAATAACGTCATATACGTGATCCATGCACCTAAATGAAACAATTACCATGCTATCATCTTCTTTTATCAATGCTCTTAATTGTTAAGAAAATATTAGCGAAAATCCTAGACCGGTATTTAAGTTGTACGTGTGTAGAAATAGGACAAGACGTTTGATTCAGGGTTGCCTAGCAATCCTTGCGCTGAATACCCCATAGATGCCTTGTTTTCGCCAACTATGTGGATCAAAAATACGTTTTCCACTAAATTTTTATTTTACTGAACTACCCCTTTCGGCGTCGTACCAGTGAATTTAGTCTGACGAATCTAAGACAGACTCTCTTTGAAAATTGCCGTTCGCTTGAATACGTTGGTTTAGCAATAAGCTTTTTTTTTTTTTTTTTTTTTTACAAATCTTTCGCTTAAAGTAGGTGCGCTGCTTATTTTTTGTGAGGAAGTTAACTTGGGACTACGTTGAGACGGCTGACTTTAAATAGGAATTATAAGCAGCGTTCTAAAATTCGAACTCCAAATTTACATATGTCCTTAAATTCAGTAGGTGGGTGTATAACAGCTGTATCATTACGCTGACAGACTTGTAGTTTTCCTAAACTTTCTCAAAGTTAAAAGGAAAAGGCGCGAATTAAATTTGAAATGATACACGATGACATTTGCAAAGCTCAACAAAAATGAGGTTGAGTCAGCTATTCTCATACGTATTTTATTTGGCATTTAACGAAACTAACTTAATTTTATTACGTATAAAATTCAATTAATATGGAGAATATGAATTTAGCTCTCTAGTTGCATTCGGAACCTCTATAATATGTCCAGAAGAACTACAGTGCAGGCATATTGGCTTGATATATTTAATAAAGTACCAGTAATATAATAATAATAATAATAAAATCTAATAGTATTGTCATTAGGTTTTCAACAGGGTTATATGGACCCTATGAGACCTTATGAGACTATACGCTGAGAAGGGTTAGAATGTATGCTCAATACCATTTTGAGCCATTGGCTACTGTCCAGTAGAATACGGATTTGCTTGATCAATTGTATTTATTAAAATTGTTTACCTGACTGCTGTAAAGGCATCACTGATGCTTGATGAAGACGTAATCAGGGTCAGCTAGATGGGTAATACGGTCTACACAAGGCTTGTATCATAGCGGCCTTTCAGAGACGTACAGCTCCTAGAAATACTATTTTTACTAATCAAATGCTATCATTATTTAGAAGTTTAAGAGATAGTGGAATGGGTAGGACACTAATAGGCCATAGGGCAAATACAATACGAGTTCACTTGAAAGTGGTTCTTACGAATGGAAGAAGAGATCCATCGCGAACCGCTTGTTCGAAAGTACCCCTCTATAAAATACCTTTCTAGGCGTCTATATTTGATCAAATTCGATTTGCAATTTACTTTTCACGAAATCTGTTATGCTCTAATATTGTATCCGTTTACTAATTCGATTGGACGTGTATGTAAAATATATACTATAGTACTAGTGTAGCATATATATACTATACTATAAACAATGCTTGTGCCATATTTCAAATTTCTGCTATAGTTCTCAATGAAGTGCGGATTGTAAACAATTTTCAAGTACGTGTTTGAGTTGTGCTGTTTATGTGTGAAGTACGAATAGGTATGCCGGTGGTCCACTATATAATGCAGTGAAGCGTCCAGGGCATAATGAAAGCGAGTTGGTTACCGTTTCATTACAGGCCTAGAAAATTCCGGTCGTCAGACGAGGAGTCAATAATTATTTGACCGGCCTGCATGCTTCTTTCTCAATCCTTTTCTTCGAAATACAGTAGCTCAAGTTAAGATACGAAGGTGATATTAATAGTCCTGAAAATCAAATGAATCAAAATGTTGGGATTCGAACCAGTAAAAGCAGAGACTTTAAGCTATCAAACATACAAGTTCGAAAATTAAGTTAACCTTTTGCACTCTCGCAATCATGTTTAATTGCGTTTCTTATAATGGTCAGTAACATGCTAATTGCTCATCTCATCAATATTGTTTGTTTCTTAAATGATTTCGCAACTAGCAATGCACTTCATGCTAAGTAAAATCTCTTGAAAGTCAACCACAGCAGGAAATATACGCGTAGCCTTAACAAAGCTTGCCTTAAACGTTTGCCGCCAACATCCGCCTATTCGAGGTACACAATTTTGCATTAGACTGCCGTGAGGTTATCTTGAAGTTCAGCCTTAACGAGATTTCTTATTTCAACCCAAATATGGACTTCGAATCGTGGCACTGTCATTGACAAAATAACACATACCCAGCTTAACGACACGGTCTTCGATAAGTCGCTTGTGCCAAATGCGCCCTCTGGTATTAACCTTGCACGGTTTCTCGTGAAGAATTCATTCATGTTGACGTTGAGGGGTTCATATAAGGAATCACGGGTCGTGTAGCTCATGTTATACGCATTTATCGGCCGGTGTGCCAAAGACCAATCTGACCAAGGGTGCCTTTTTTTCGCGTAGCAGCTAATACACTCTAGATTGTGGAGGTACGTTAGAAGCTTCACGTTTAACTAAGAGAGAAATACTTCTGCTGTAGCAGTACAGATTAACATGCGTCGCGTAAGGAAAAGAGCTTCAATAACCTTAATCTGTTCTGAATCGCACAAGCAATATCCGTAACGAATAAGAAAGCATCGTCTCTTACTTCAACTTGACTATACACTAGACTAATATCACCTATATAACAGGCTAAGTTATGCTTTGAGACAGATTAGTTCGCTTATTTTTTTTTTTTTTGTCAAATTAACAATCGATGGCACTTTGTTATTGATACGCCCGAAATACAGTGGCCTAAATAGATCCCGAAAAAGTTGTAGGGTATAACTCAACACATCTCTGTATACATTTGTAAAATGCTGAGTCTTTACACTAATTTTTGTTTTTTTTTAACTCTCCTTGATCGAAAACGGAGTGGTCCGTACAGCCTCACTATCCCCGTACTAAGATGTGTGATACATGTGAGGACGCATACTTCGACCGTATGGCTTTAGAGTTGTCACATAGTGTCACGTAGGTAAAGAGTATAAAAACGAATTTCGTCAATCAGACAGATGAGCAGACGCTTATGGGCAACTTTAGCAGTCAAGATCCTCTATAACAATTATCAAAAACTCTTTAATCTTATGTCTAGCGAGCGAGAGCGAGCGTTAACGATTGCAACGTATTTATTTTTCAATTCATTTATGAAATATCCGTAATACAAAGTCAAGTAACTTATGTTCTCCGATTCATTTATTTGACATAGCCGTGCAGGGGGCAACATTAAGTACCAATAACAACACAGCGATCATTCTTATTCCATAAGTTACCGTTTTTTATTAAGTCCATTAAGTCATTTTAATACTATATTCCAAACATTCTCGAAGATAACTATTAATAATACTCAAAGATGATCGGCTTTTGGAAAGCTTCTCGTCCTTAGGATTCAACATATTGGTGTATCTTCAACTCAGAATCTCGTTCATTTGTACATTCACTCACACACGTTAACTAAATTAATTGTTAATTAATACAATCAACAATTACTTAGTTGATCGGACAAGCTCGCAAACGCAACACGAGGGCACGAAGAAATTTTCTTCGGATAGGCCTCTTCCATCAATATCCAAACTCAAAAGTTTCTTCTTAAGGTATTTCTGCTTGCAGACCGATGTGTACCCAAATGGCAGGCTGATAGTGGACGAACACGCTTCATCTACGCTCCTGAAAAAATGCACAAAAATATTTAATAATAATAATAATAACACACAACAAATACACAACGTCTGACAAAGTGGCTTGTTATGTCGGCAACCAATGTTCAGCACACGGACGCTGAGCGTAGCCAAGCATGTTTCAACATACGGGTGCAGGGTCCCAACTCAAGTTCCGTAGGAACTTGCGCTATTAGAACACACAGATACCAAGTTTCAGTACTGAAATAGTATTTGACCAGAATGGCTGTAGCTCATTAGAGTCATCAAAAAACCGTGTAACGAATTTTTTTAGTAGATTCAGATTGCTCTAATACTGTAGATAAAAGGAAAAGTGACAATATTGGAGCGTGTCTCCGTCACCCATGCCCCCACCCAAAAAAAATAGAAGTTTACTTAAAGATAAAAAAAATAATGTTCGTATATGTGCTGTTGTATTTTGTATATATTATTTATTGCCTAACATTATAATACCTGCAAATTTCAGCGCGGACTATCTGTCTGATTCGTGGGTCTCGTTCTTGCACGTTGACAATATACTTCCATTGGTTCTTGTCACTTAAAGCTGCCTTTGGAGAAATATATAGGTGGCGCGTCTCGCATGCTGGTTCGACGCTGTTCTCTGTAGTTCGTTTGCGACGAGATAACCTTTCATCGTCCCATGAAAAACAAGAAAACGCTATTAAACCCAATAATTTATTATACCTGGGTACGTTCATTGAGATATCGTCAAGTCAGAACTATGACAATAATATGAAGACAGACTGCGAATCAGAGAAAAATATGGACATACTTAATGCAACTGTATATAATATGAGTGAATAAAATTGGACATACGTTTTGGGATAGTGCTTAATATCCCACCAAGGATTGGGGTGCGCTGCATGGGAAACAGCGGCTGCATGTGCCTTTCGAGATTAAATCGAAAATAACAGAGGAATACAATAGTTACTTATTCATAAGTTTAAATAAAAAAAAAATGCATAAGCTACTCTCTACGCCCACTGCAGTGTTTTTTTGTTTTTTTAAACTAACAAACTATGTTAATTGCCTCTTACAACTTGTATAATATTTTGATGAAAATATCCGTTTGAATGGATTAATAGCGCGTGTTTTTTGGTCAATATTACGCCCTCAACTTATATCCCTAGCGTACCTTCTAATATGTGCGTCAAGAAGCTCATAATGTTATGCCTAAATTCGAGTATTTAAGCAAAATTTGCGAATATAATTTTTTGACCAGCTTAGTAAGAAGCGTCCACTATAATAAAAAAAAAAAAAAAAAGCTGTAAAGACTCTATTTATTGAGACGTGTATAATTGACTTATAGTACATTCTGAAATTGCCATTCGAACAATCATATTAAATGCGACACCTTTCCATAGGAGTAGTGTGGTTCATCCTGAAGCAGCAATAGGGTGGCAACCGAGTAGGTGGGTGGGGTTTCCGGGTGGGCGAGGGGCGGTATAGGCGGAGGGGGGGCAGGTACTTGTGGAGCCCATGTCTGCAACATAACCGAAAAATAAACAAGCAAGGATCTATAGCAGTTAGATAAAAAAAAAATAGATGCTTGTGTATCAAGTACAACTTTAAAGATATTCGTTTGTTGATTATGTTTTTTTCCTTTTTTGTGGTTCTTGTTACGGTGTTTTCGGTTTTGCGATCCTAGCTTTCTCTAATGCATTTACCACGACAGTGCGGTATGCGGGTATAGATATACGGCTTTTATTTACCATTTATGTCGCGATTCTTTCTTGGACTTCTATGGGAATCGATAAAAGGGCAGACTGACTTAAAAGAAGTTGAAGTTCTGGAACAGATGCTGTTCGAAATTGTACTTTGCTTTCTACTGCCGTAGACCTCGTAATGTGATTTTGTCTAGATTGGTACCTGCAAATGAGGTTCGTCGAATCCATCTCGGTCGTCAAAAAACACTGACGAGAAATTAAACCCACGGAAACGGGTTTGTCGTACCATTTCAAATAACTGCTCCCTGAAAGACAACAAAAACAAATATTCAGAATATTTTTTCATTGCGTCGGGTTAGTTTTAATATACTTATAGATGAAGGTAGTACTTTCGAAAACCTGAAAGGAAGGCACTTCGTTAATATGAAATCTCCTACATAGAAATACCCTGGCGTTTGTCCGTGATCGTACTAAGAAAATACGATAACAATTGATGTCGAAATAACTTTCCTCAAAACTTCGAGCTAATGCTTTCCTAAGACATGTCTGCTTAGTATATTTTTAGACCTATCTGTATATAGTAGGCCATCGCGAGAATTTCGCGACAGCCATGAAGATGAGGTCCTCCATAGAAAAAAACACGTCCACTTCTTCGTTTCTGTTCGTTTCTTAACTGAGCAAATACAGATCTTCATAACAGAGTGCAGTCGATCAAGCGAAAGTTAGTGTGCATTTTGAAACGAAGCATGCCACTTACGGTATTGAGAGGGATCCATTATGTCGAAGGAATGCAATCTAGCGTATAATCATACATTATGAACTCAGTCGGTTTGTGTAAACGCTAAAGACATAAAGTAAGCTAGAATTATGCATATCAAATCAATGAAATCTTTAATTTTTGTAGGTCTTCTACTTACTCTGGATAGCTATGCACGTTGACACATACAGTTTTTCCTGTTTCTGGACAATGTTGAGGAATGGGAGCATATTTTTGTCTTGAAGGCGGTGTAATCTTTATTGCCTGTTCATGACAAACGAAACTGGCATCGTTCATTTTTTAAGCACGTACATATATATATATATATATAGATCATTTCTACTTTGAATGATGCATCTAGAATAGAGCAGATAGATGCAGGCACAAGTGGGGATTTCGATTGAATCAGAAGAACTTTTTTGAAAATAGCGCGATTTGGCTAAAGGAATAGCGCTGATTTGTTCGACAATGTAACATATTTGACTAATATTGGGATCATTGTTGCATTTTGGGATTGGTATCTACCAATGTTTCTATTGACATTATCATTTATATCATTTTAGGGTCAATGTGAAGCCGTAATCAGTAAAACTAAAGCCGATATTTAAATTAAGCCTTTGCAAAGATTGCAACAGACAGAATAGCTAACAAATATCTTCGCGTGACCGTCAATTCAATAGAAACGGCTTATCAAAATCATGTGTGCCTTATCCGGGCATATTTTAAATCAGAACTAGAAAAAAAACAAATACACAGTCCAAAGTCACTCGACATCATTACAAGTCCCTTGTCAAGGATGCTTAAGGATAGAAAAGATAACACCTTTGGGGACTGTGGAGCCGCTGGCCATGGGGGGTTCTTGAAAATGATCACAGCTGGAAGCAACGCGCCCCCTCCTCCATCCGACGGTAAACTTAATATTAAGATAACTACGAGCAATGCCTGTCGAAGAACCGATAGAGTTAAGCGTACGGGTTACATCGAGCTAAACACATAGAGTTTTTCCTTTATGAACTTTAGTCATTAGAGCTACGTATTATTAACGTTATTGTGCGTTCACACAAACAGCTTTATGTAGGGTCTACCAAGCTGCGTATGAAAAAATGCTATCGGCAACAAATTCCACTTACTGTCAACAGCGGTCCAACATTCATGTGAGAATGTATTCTATGCGTTCTGTACCGAAGATCATTTTGCCTTTGGGACTCTATCCGATCGTAGGGTAGCCCTAATATGTGGAATCTGAAGCGTGGTTCTTCCTACGAGACAAAAACGAAATAGACAAATAGAAACCGACAATTGCATGGTCACAGGTAATCCCTCATCAAAGCAAACTACTTGATAAGACTACGCATAGTCCCCTATAGATATATATGTAACAACAGCTTTGACTGAACGGGTCTGACGAATAGACTCTCATTTTTTATGATGTTAACTCATTACGACTCAACGCGTCCCGTAAGGTTACATTTCGCCCAAGTTTTAGAAAAGCACGTATTGGCAAATCCTTTTTCCAAATAAGAAGAAGATATGACGAAGATTATGTGAGAAGGATTATGCACTTGATTTGCTCTGAAAAATATAGGTTGATACAAAACAGGCGATGTTTGTTTTGGTGCTTAACAAAACTATTTTCACAAGCTCTAAAGCTGTGGCACACATCAGATCATATATGGCGCTATGTGGCATCTTCAATATAGTATCGCGTACCATCGCAAATATCGTAATGTAAATTTAGGTTAAATAATAATAAATATGTGGCACACGCTTGAAAACGTTGATTCAATAGGTTTGTGCTGACGTTAATCGCCCGCGGGCTTATTGAAAGTTGGTTCTTTTTTACGGCTAGAATTCATTCTGACTTCTCAAGAAGATACGGCATCGTTTAGCTCGAGCCACTCACTAGGCATATAAACGAAAATCTGTCTAGTTATTGTCGAACTTTCGTTGCTAAGGTACAATTCGGGGTCGAGCTACGGTTCCGCATGCTAAATGCCACTGTTTTTTTTTGCTGCCTCATGCATAATACAACACCGTTAGCTGAAAAGATGAGGCGTGGAAATATCTGCAGAACACTCGCATCTGATCCTGATACGTTCAGCTTCAACTTCATATTATGCAAGTATTTTCAAAAGATTAAGAACGATAAACCTCAAGCTTGTGTGAATCACTTCATGCAGAAGAACGATTGATCCTACATAGCTATTACTTATTTAGAATTACGCGCCACAAGAACGTGCTGATTACATTATTACCCCGAACTGAAGCGTAGTTGTTTTGGAAGCACACGGCTTATGCTCTAGGATCCTTCCAGAGTCTAAGCTGATAGATTTATTAGGTGGATCGGCGAAGATAATATCATGAAACTGTTTGCCTAATTTATAATTTTATTTGTTCGCTGTTAATTTTCAATAAAATCAAATTACTGCCCTCGATTTTGAACATACCTCGATATATACGAACGCGGTACGTTCACGTCTGCATTAAAAAAAGCAATCTACTTGGGAATTATAGGCTGGCTTCGCGAACGAAAAAGGTTATGTAATATATGTCATTGTTATTAGTATATAGTCGAAAAACCACACAGCTACATAAGACACGTAATTTCGTGTTTCGTGGTAAAGCGCAACCGTTGAACGAAGTGATATCGTCGTTGTGGCGCCCAAAGTTGCTATTAATAGTGTCTCATATTTGTGTGTTTATTTGAAAATATCTAATACGATAAATAACATTATATATATATATATATATATATATATAGATGTCTAACGGTGCCAAATATGAAAAAAGTATATATATGTGTGTGTATACCTATGAAATAAAATTAATCGAAGACGAGCTTATACCCCTCCCATTACTAAGATATGCATATGTTACAGATAATTCTCTGTAGAAGGTCACGCAACAGCTATTGATAAACAGACGTCGTGTCTTATGGAACTGACGTTGAAACAGATGCTGAAAACGAATAGAAAATGATTTTAATGTGCAGACAGGCGTCGCGCATTTGGAAAGCTATCCAGCTGATGCTGCTCCCCCGCCCCTCGTCTATGGGGGTGTTGATGACGCAACGCAATAAACTCCCTTGTGTGTAAAATAATTCAACGGTAGAAAAGCTTTCAACGTTTCCTTAAGTGTCATGGTATCACAACCATTGTTATACGCACGCATGTAAATGATTTTGAATTAATGGATCGCTTTATCTCAATAGCTTGTACTATAAGGAATAGTAAGTATTGAATGCTAGCTTGGTTGCGGATACTGACAATCGAAGATGTGTATCTGTACGAACCGATAGGTTCCTATATTTTTAAAAAGGTGGAAAAATTTCAGAATTGAAAAAATAATCTGCTATTAATAGTTGGAAATAATAAACGGCAATGCTCGCCGACTGAGCGTAAATCCTTCTTCAAATATGTATCATGTTATAGAAGTTGCTGCTTTCGAACCTGTTGATAAGCCTTGCCAAGTTCGCACTTCAATAGATTCAGTAGCCAAGTTTACTCTTATGTCACACCCTTTATCAAAGATATCGGTATGAGCATAGATATACGACATAGAGATATTCGTACCTTTAGTCTCTTACTGCGAACGTCTCGAGTCAAGAAGATCAATCATTTTTGGCCTTTCAGCGTCATGAAAATCAATTAGCTACGACGAAAGCCCGCTTTCGCTTAGGCGAAAATGGCGTGAAGCCATTATTTACTCAAGTGCAATTCAGATACTGCGCCGCAGTTCTAAGTTCGTTACACGGCACAGCCGTAACAGTAGAATTGCAGACGCTTGTCATCCACTCGTGAGAAGGAGCTATAACTTGAAGAAGCTAAATTTTAAAAACTAAAAACAACAATATTACCGTTACTTCTGGACGATTCATCTAGTTTACATGTTCTCTGCATTTTTCGTTCTCCGTTCACCACTGCTAAGCAGCTTGAATTCATTCTCATCCCTGTAGCTCGAGTTTCGGTTTTTGTAACCCCGGTCTATAAACTCTTGTCTCTGGTAGTGGGCCTCATTCTGGCAGGGCATTTCATTCACGATAGACAGTTTCTGTAAATAAACTTGTCCGTACATAAACATGTTTACTGTAGTCGCAGTACTAGCACGATAAAAACAACCACTTAAACGTACATCTGCAAGAGCAGACTATACCCGAAGGTAATGACAACAGCCGTCGTGAGCGCTGGCCAATGACCTTTATGATGACCCAATGATATTTAAAAAGGCAACCATGCGGCGGTCTCTGTCCTTCTTAGCAATGGAAATAGGCGCAGTATCCCAGCTAAGCCGTTCAGTGTCATACACGAAGAAACTCTGAGACAAGAAAACCCTCTTACGTTGGCATTAGAAGTACTCAACAATATATTTGGGTATAATATAATTCAATCGTACCTGATCTAATACATATACATATATGTTAGATGAAATATTGTGCTTTCCTCTATGGTTCTGACCCAAAAAGACTGCGGCCCGAATTCCGCAGGTTGTGCAGGTCTTCGGACTTCCTAACTGCGACCAGAGTCATTCAGAATTTTGTAGAGGAAACTGTTCGCCGCGCGACAGTACAGCGTTTTCCGGGCAGAGAGCCTAGAGCACATGCGGTGTGTCAACACGCGGACGAAGGTCCCTTTTTACTTCATGGACAATAAATCTGCGAATTCGTTACTGGAAAAAGGTAAGCATGGCCCTTATCGGGCAGAAGTAGTACAGCAGGATAGACGTCAGGACACCGAAGCCTTCGTTGTGGTCGTCTAGCAGAAATTTTGAGCATAACACTCTACATCACTTCGTAAATTTGAAGTTGTGCGTCCGGTTTTGGAAGCTGTGGGATCCCAGTCGACATGCATTCAAGGTCTGCTTTGCGCAGCGCGTGGGACTCACTGGGTGCAACTGAACTTGGCTGGGGGGTGAGGACATACCGCCGGATCAACGTAATTGCTTGTAATAGATAAAAGAATTACACTTAAATATCTGAATATTTATGAATGGGTCGCGGCTATACATGCAAGGAGAGCGATTGGCTGTGAAGTTGTCTTCCTCGCCGGCTTAAGCAGCCCGCTTCTCTATACATACATATATGTACACACTGCTGTAGCCTTCCAGCGTTTTTGTAGTAGACTTGATTATGAATCTGCTTTCGCGCGATCAGGACACTGCTTTCAACCAGCAGAAACTGACTGGTCACTCCTAATTGACGAGCCGATCCATTAGCCTGTATACGCGTTACATTTTATAAGTTATATAAAAGCGTAACTCGGAGCCAAAATATTATCGCTTTTTCTCAAGGGCATCGGCAAGATATAGGTATGAAGCGTATTATTAATCGACACCTCCTATACACTGCTTTGAAAGGGAAAAAATGCTGAAAGAATGATAGTGTTTATTGAAGCGAGTGCCGATAACCCCGTTTCAGATCGCAGACCTATTTTGCCTGAGCCATCTAACGGGATGAATTGAGCTGAATGGATGCATGTACAATCAATTTCGACTGGTGTATTTCGTAATCGTAGCATCGACCTGCAAATTAATTTTTGCTATATTGTTCTCTATCTTTTTATATGGTGCAATTGCAGATACATGTCTGTCGGATACGTCAAAGCGATTTCGAACCACAGTGTTGGAGAGGCGTCGGCCGGTTCTTGCTAGCTTACGTTGATGATTTAACGCGTATAATTGAATCTTGTTTCAACTAGCTCGTGTCGTCGTTTCTAGCTGAGTTGACTCGAATCGCTTACTTATCGAGCTGAAATCTCTCCCAAAATGGCGTCGTTGACCTTATTGACCTCACAGCTTAATTCACGGTAGCAATAAAAGCGTCAAAGCGGTCTAGTTTAAATCGACGCGCTGCTGTCGCTTTTCTATTAGTAAAATCCAGCTAGCTTGCCGGTGACGATAGAATGAAGTTTGAGTCGGCATCTACCCGTTCGGGCTTAACTTGTAACGCTCTGGCTAACTGACACGTCGCCAGGCGGTATGGTACCGCGAGCCGGCGGTGTCTACGGTGAAGTTCTAAAACGAATTTCCTGCAAGCAAAAATATCTTTGCTGGCTTTACAGACCGGCATACTATCACTTGTCGTTGTTCTTTACACCGATTCGCGGTACACGAACGTAACGATTAGTGCCCACAGATGCGTGCTTTTAACCTGATCGAATATACTGCACGTGTAGCAACGTAGTCTTGTTGTAGATCTGTTTGTTCGTATACAAGTGTGTTTATGCAACATGTACACCTCAAAGGCTTCATGGTCCCTTCCTACTATCGTAAACAGCAGGCATGATGTAGCGTTTTAGATGCTGTGTTAATATTATCATAATCTATTACGTAATTCGCGATAGAAGATGCAACAGCCCCAAATCAACGTACCGTTATGCACCTAATATAAATATCATGAAGTAAGTTTTGTTCCATAAACTGAGAACACACTGTATTTCTTGTGCTGCTACTGCTACTGCTACCGCTACTACTACTTTCAAGGGACACCTGCTTCTGCAACTAAATTGCAGCCCGCTACAAGATTTGTGCGGTTTTATAGTCCATTGATCTTTTTGTCTAGGACAAAGCGCGGTACTTTGGATCGTTTCCATGGATTTTCTTAGCGATTCATCTGCGCCTACAGGCTAAAAGTGTACATAATCTATACTTTGTCTACAAGATCCACCGACAGTTATCGGGGTAGTATACACATTCTTCCTTCGGACTACCGAAACCCGTTGAATAACTAAGGTTATTAACATTATTATAAGTGTTGCTAAGTATCCACAAAAGGATTATAACGATCGACTCGTACTCAAGGTAGGGTGCTCATTTTTAGATGCCACCATAAATAGTACATGTCCTATATATTTTATACCAGGACAACAGCAAACATGTAGTGATCGACATATGCGTTGGTTACCATTACTGCTGCTCTGAGAGGTTGAGAAGGTTCATGTAAGGACTCGTTCTATTCGCGCGCAAAAGCGGTTTCACGTAATAAAAATGATGATGAATTTATACTGTATTATCCTGAATGGCTGAATGGCTGAAAGCTTCATGCCTCAACAACAGATCGGACGACGATACAATGCCATTGAGCGACCAACAAAAGCCACTCCAATAAAAACCTTGGATAACGCGTTAGACTGATTGTCTTGGCTTTGAGTGGGCAGGAGTAATGATCGATGAGTTGCACCTAGCGGCTTTTGCCTTCATTAGACGAGGCCTGAACTTGGCGTAATATGCTTATTATAGGTAAATTTCAACCATGACAACGAGCAAATAATTGCTTAGACCTACGCGGTCTATTAAATATTATTTTCTTTTTGAATTAATTGGCAAACTACGGAGTATCACCTACCCACACACATACTGATGCACTGGAGATGTACCCTACGACACCACATTAAAAAATGGGTCATCTTTAATTTCTGTCCGCTTAATTTAATTAAGCGCAACAATATTACATACCTTCATATAATATTGATCTTGAAAATTAGGTCGCTACAAATTATAGTCTTTTGCAAGAGCTTTATCTATATTATTTTCCATTTATATCTGCTTATGTTGAACACTAAAAAAATTACCAGTTATCTTTATAATAAATCGTAGTATGTTCTGCGGGATTGGTCCGGACTGTACAGCGAGCGAACGGCTAGTCCAATCCTTTACCTTCAACGAGAAGCTAAAAGGTAACGATGGAAGAGGCGACGAAACTGCGCCTCTCACAGCACAACTTAATTAGAAGGGCGAAGTAGAGAAAGGGGCAATTATTCAAATATGTCCACAACACACAAAAAAGTTTCCTCGTCCTACATCCTTTATCGTCTCTGCCTTTATTTGTACTGCATATAAACAACTGACGTACGTGCATTTCCCACATACCACTGACTGCCCGCGAGGGGCGTTCGAGAGGAAATGTATGCCGTCAAATATATGTATCCGTTCGTTCGTCGCTAAATATGTTCATGGGGATATCAATAACGTTGTGAGGCGAACGGCATGTATCAAGTGGTCCCATCCTGGTAATATTAAACGCCAGCATATACGGAGTAAAACGCATTTGTCAAGAAGTCTTAAGAGACTAAACGTACGTGAAGAAAATCTTTTTAAATGCACTTATCGATAGGAGTGAAGATAATGTGTGTGCGGAAAAATCTGAATATTCTGCTCGGACGTACGAAGAAATCTAGGTACGGAAGGCTACGACAATGGCGGCTTCTTCTAAATAACTCAAGAAAACACGCTTACAAAGAGGATGCAAACAAACGACCGCTATCTAGTAAAAGCTGCGAGAGATCGGCTATACAATCTGGAAACTTTCTTTACTTTGCTCACACGTGTGGGCATGTGCCAATGGGAGTACAATACTACTCTGGTTCTTTCACTTAAAAGTGGTTCAGCTTCGAACGATCGCTCCCGTAATGGCGGTAGGGAACCATCCAAATCAGTGCACGTTTATAGTAATGCTCGGGTAATTTTATATGCCGTTATAGCACTGACTAAAATATGATGGTGTTTCTATATAGTATTCTATGTAAGCTTTTTTTCCCGAGTGATTGCAAGCTGTACCGGTGACGAACGAAATTGTCAACGGTGACATGATAAACACGGTGTTGAGAATGTTTGGTAAGCTAACGGTTCGATTCTTCAATAGATCTCTGGATTGGACTCTAGGCGTCAGGAGTCCAATTAGGTACACGTGAAACATAGTAACACCTGAGTAAAAGAAACGTTACGCGGATGGATGAAATCTTGAGTAAATGTTATTGTTGCAAGGATGCGGCGAACAGCGCAGTCATTTAATAGCCAGTAACTGGCTTTTCCAATTGCTTGTACCAGTGGACGCTTCCGATATGTCTTTATTATTATTGTTGTTCCCATTCGTAATATATTCGTTTAACTTAAAGAACGTTCCCGCATATATATATATATATAGAGTATAGCTTAAAGTATACGCTAAGCTACCATGGCAGAGGCCTGCCATTCTACGGTCCAGCTCTCGATATCTGTTCATGCAACGTGACTGAACTGCTTGACATGACTTTGGTGCTGACCTATGAACGGAAGTTACATTATTATTATTATTTATTTTCTGTCTAAAACTCTATGGGACATTTCGGACCCAGGTCTCCATAGTCACGGAACACCCGCATATAGCATTGATCTCTATACATGGTACTCACGCTATTTTCTATTTCTTTCCACCTTCTATTTCGTAATAGCAAAAATACACAAAACCCTAAAACAGTATCAATGAAATACGTGCGATCATCCCGACGTAGTAAATGAGGTAACTGTCAGTTGTTTTAAAAATAATAATTTACATTGATTCAGCGGGATGCGCAAACAAATTTCGGCAAAAACCAAACAGAGCTTCCTACGCCCTCTAAGACTAAACATTCGTGTTGAATCGCACAGCAAAAACAAACCAGATATCTGCCAAGTTTTACGCCAAGCGAGCTATCCAGTCAGAAAAATTATCAGAATGATGATCAGAAAAAAGATTTCATCACTGAATGCGACATAATACACAATTAGCTTATAGTAAATCATGTCCCAGTAAATGAATGGTAAGTCAAAGCCTGGTAACATTGTTCAGGACAACATGCAAACGCTCTTTTTCTTTTGGCCAAATATTAAGGACGAAATTTATCATTTCTTTTCTATCCCAATACGACATTTCAACAATCGTTCTATTCGCTAGGGTTCAAGTCTTGCAACACGTGATCGACCATTTGACATCGGTTCGATTGATGACTGATTGGTGTAGAGTCAATGTTTTGCTGGCTGAAATTAGTACCAGACATACACGGAAAGAGGTGGTGCATTCTTACAATCCAGATTAGTTTCAGATTTGTTTTGTGAACATCCTCTCTGATGAGGTTGAGCAGTCTTCATCAAGGAAAAAATCTATTACTGACCGAAGTTTGTTTCGCACTGAAGGCTGCCACTGTTTCGTAACAAATGGAGTCAGTTATAGAATGGTTAGCAGCTATTAGTTGTATGAAGGTTGATGATATCCAAGCCTCACAAAAGAACTCGACACGTGAACGGAAGCTGCTTTGTAAGAAGTCAAGAGTTTATTTAGTCGACCAGGACAACTGTACAAAATTAGCGCGTGTTAAGATAGCAGCGTACTGCAAGCTTCTGCTACGTTAGTCTTCACTTAAGCTTGCTAGCTGAAACAGTTGTATTTCTGCTTGACTTCAATGATTTATTTTCGTCAAACAATATACTATAGACACTCCTCTATGCTTTAAAAGTTGGCGCTTGTCTTTTGAAACACTGCGCCGAAATGGGTCTTTGTCAGAATGGCTAGCTTGCCAACATGTTTTTCCTCCTATTATCTGCAGTTGAAAATATAATTATTAGGTGCGCGAGATCAGTGGGCAGTATATCTAGGAAGGTACACTTTCGAGCATTGAGCAGCTGCAGAAACCACCGTTTTCGGGCGCCCGCATAATGTCCCGTAAATTCTTCAAGTAAGACCCACAAGCAGCTCTTATTTACCCTACGTAATTTAGCTAGCTTGAATACGACGCCCACAAGGCTACTTACAAAGCACTAGAATAAATAGTTGCCGTTGAACTTCTAAGTTCGTCAACAGATCTCATGAAATAACCCGACCTAGACGGTTTCCTTACTTAAAGTCAGCTATCCATAGATTTGGGTCGTTGCAAATGTTTAGAGACCAGAATTTATAAAGCATTTTTAGCTAACTGAGGTACGTTCCATTATGCTGATTTTGCATCATGCCTACTTCGTGCAATGCATCTACGGTGTCAGAAAAAAGCTCCTACATTTTTTGCTATTTACGATATTAGGCTATGTTGCAAATATACGGTGATCTGATTAATAGAAATTGAATGGCCGGTATCGTTTAGAAATGCTCTACGCCTAAAAATTACTTTCTTTTTAACGTTACAATGATTTTCCCGATATTATTAACATGTTTATTCGATATACAAGTTATGGCCAAGAGTATACCATTAAGACAGTAGCGTCATATAATATCCACGCAGTATACCATTTTCAGTCTCAACTTACCATTTTCCTGTAAATATCTGGAAAATTTTAATCATCTGTTCTAAGTACTACGGATGGTCTGAGCACATCCGTTAGGTGATTTCGCGCCGTCGACTATGCAGTATATCCCGCGCGCTGTCTCATATACCACCGTATCCCTAATTTGTTTCATGAAAAATAGTCAACTTTTGTGCCAGTAGGATCACTTATTGATGTGCATATATCCATCATTAAAGTAATAAATGGTAAAATCGGTTGTTATAGTTTTACACGGGGCAAATGCTGTACGTTATTTACACAATACCAGCCGAAACAAGCCCCTTGTTGACGACGCTACAACACTTTTCTGTCATCTGGACGATTACTACACTTGGAACACACAAGGCTTTGTTCTACGCAATAGGACTATCTTGTGACTGCTTGATAGACGAGTGTATGTCTTCAGTCAAAGACGTCCTTCAATTTACTACTTTCTAATAATAAAGAAACAGCAAGTTCTAATCTTGCACCGAATACACAGCCTGCTCTGGATCTTGGCACAGGTATCTCGCACTAATACCGCTAACTATGCGCTAAACTAGCTTGCTTAGCCGTTGTATTTTATCTATGTTATATACACATTTGATGAATACGGACGCGCTTGATACTGGTGTTAGAAACACCCTCAACAATTTCGATGACTATCCATATAGC